AAGGTTGTTCTTCCTAACGTTTCACCAGTCTCTGTGGCCAGCATCTTCAGAGGAAGAACAACCTTCAGAACATGGCCAAAGAGCCCAAAAAACCCACAACAACCATTAGATCTCGGCCATGAAAGCCGTCGCGAATACATTGATATAAGTATATTGCCAAAGGAGGCTCGGTCAGAGAAGCCCTTCCCATTGCATTGTTGCGAGTATGGTAATTTCTTCAAAGACATACAACACAGAGGGAAGTGGTTATTCAGTCCCTTCCCTTACCCTTGTGGTGTTTGTGCGGTTTATAATAAACTGACAGGAAGATGGGTAACATTCAGATACAGTACTGCTCTCTTAAAAGTGTTAAAAAGTAGCCATTGGCAAAAGAAAACAGTCTGGTAACTTGGAAAACACCCTATCTCCTAAGAACACAATTCCCCAATCTAAATAACATTTTAAAGGCGGGGGGGGGGAAGGTGGACCCTCGGCTTGGTTTTCCACAAAAACCACAAAGAAAAGCTAACCACGCCTGATTTTTAAAAAGAATAAAACAAAGTCTGCATATGATCTGGCTGAACAGCGCAAAGCAATCTAATATGCATTTACAAAAAAGCTACTTCAAAAGTAGATGACAGCAACTGTAAGCAGAGCACTGGCTACATATCCATTTCCCATGTGCACCCATCATATATAAATGAACGCATTAGCCCTCCCCCCAGCAAGGAAAGTGGGCACAACAATTGCCACTTTGTCTCCCACAATATTATTGGTGTTATGACTAACTTAAAACACATGTGGTCCAAATCACATAATCCGTACATATATACATGATGAGGTGTCCCTATCTAGTCTATCGACTAGATAGGCGGGATATAAATAAAATAAAATAAAAAAATAAAAAAATTAGACTAGGCGTATTACCTGCCTCATATGTTCCCCCTCTCCCCCAATTCACTGCACTCAGTAAGGCAGAATCCTAAGTAATGGGCACAGAACGCGAGATTCTTCTCTGTATTGGGGAAGAAACTCTATTAAAGGATATGCTTTCTTCCCAGTAAGCGTGCATAGGCTTAAACTGTAAGTGGACAAGAGGCAATTTACTCCAGGAAATACTAATAGGGAATGGAATTAGGAATAGGATACAATGAGGGGAGGGGAGAACGAGCTTCAACCCACCCGCTCAGGAATCCTCTCCCACCCTCTTGTCCCAAACGCTTTGATAATCTCCTTATATGGACTCCAGAATGTCTGACGTCATCCCAACTCTGGGAAAACCAGTGTTGGAGCAACCAAACTCCTCTAGGCAGGAGTGTGAGAGAGAAACGGGAAAAGAAGAAGGGGAAAAAAAAAACACCAACCCAACAACCGAGGGTGGAGTTGGAATGCAGATAGACACGGGCGCGCCTCCAATGAGAGCGGAGGGTGTACTCCATCATTGGCCGAGGAGCAAGAAAGGGCGGGAGCGGCTGTTTCTGTCCGAGCCTGCGGAAGGTATGCGGGAAAGGGCTTGGCATGGGTTAGGGTGCGCCGGCTGAAAGTCGCCGCCTGGCTGCGGAGGGGCGTCAGTCAGTACGGGTCAGCCAGGAGTTTGAGGCGGCTGCGTGTTCAAGTCCCGGCACCGGTGGAAGAGTTTCCACTGGCCTTTTTTTTTTTTCTTTTTTTTTGCAGCCGAGGGCTTTGCTCAGACGCGTCCCACAGGCCGTTCGTTTCCCAAGCCGGCTTTTCAGCCCCAGAAGTTTTTTTCCTCTCCCCTCCTCCCCATTTCTTCTTTTTTTCCCTTCTTGCATCGCGGAGCTGCTTGGCTGCGTTCCACCATGCCGGTCTTCCACACCCGCACGATCGAGAGCATTCTCGAACCGGTGGCTCAGCAGATCTCTCACCTGGTCATCATGCACGAAGAGGGCGAAGTGGACGGCAAGGCCATCCCGGATCTGACCGCTCCCGTGGCCGCGGTGCAAGCCGCCGTCAGCAATCTGGTCCGGGTGAGTTGCGAGAGGGAGTGCCCGGGGCGGCGGAGGGGGCGCCGACCGGCCGGGAGTTCCGAGGGCAGGGCGGAAGGTGTGCGAGGGATGCGTTGTGAGTGGCTTAGAAACTTCGTTGTGAGAGAGTTTGCCTGTCGGGGCGTTGTTCGTCCCAACCAACTTCAGCCAGGCCCGCCTTAAGTGGTGGAGGAGATGTTTGTGGAGTGCAGGAAGTGCTTCTGGAAGCTTCAATATGTAGCCGCCGAATAAGAAGCTAACTTCAGCCTCGTTTGGAGCACCTGGTTTTGTCTCACTGGCTGGGGAGTGGCTGTCTGCCTGTAGACGCGGCCGAGACCGTCCGGAACTTGGCGAGGTTAAAAGGTCTTCCCCTGCCACCGAAGAGAGAAGAAATGCCCTTCCTGACACCTCCTCCTTCTGCCCTCCCTCTGATCAAACTCCTTCAGTTGCTTCAAAAACGTCCTCCAAAGTTTTCGCCCTGCCGGGGGAGGGGGGCAGCTTAATGAGCCACCCATGACTGTTAAATTGATGCTTGTGTTAAGTATCCTCAGGTTGACTCCCCACTTCTGGTAACCCTAATAGAGTTTTCAAGATAAGTGAAATGTTTAAAGAGTGATTTTTTAAACCAGTGCTACCCCTGCCTAGAGTGTTGCCATGGCCATGGGGAAATTCGAACCCAGTTCTCCTGAGTCCTAGCTCCACACTTACTCATTACACCGGCTCTCAAGCTTTTACACATTTTTAGTATGTGACGAGAACACTCTCCATCACCCCACTTTCTCCAGGTTCTTGTTAGCCTTTCCACGCCCTCCTTTATGCCACCCGCTCAGCTTCCTGAAAGGTCTTTCTGTGCTCTTCCTATTCTTTTCCCTGCTTCAATTGCAACTCCTGACTGAGGGATCCCCTGTCCTCTTCCCTCTACGGTGTTCTCACAGTCTTTAGTGTAGTCCACTCTGCCAGGCAAAACCCAGTGGGAAAACTCTCCTGGAACTGTGTGGTATTTCCTTCTGAAAAGCGAAGGAGTCGCATCTCTCTGTCTTTGCCATCTAGCATGTTGCATATTGTCTTAGAAGTGAAGGGATTAAGGGGTCGCTAGGTGGGGTGGCACAACGAGGGGCACCATGGCAGAGTAACAAGCCATCTTTGCCATCTAGCATGTTGCATATTGTCAGGTGAGAGTTCTTAAAAGTGAAGGGATTAAGAGGTCACTAGGTGGGGTGGCATAATGAGGGGCACCATGGCAGAGTAACAAGCCGTGTGATGCTTAAATTTGGTAAATAAAAGACATCCATCCATCTCCAACCCCTTCTTTCCTTTCTTCCTCATGCCCCTCTACATTTTCCACAACTTCTGGAAAACTGCTTTGAGTCACTGTCCTGTTACCAAAGCAACCTCTTGGCTTTAATTTCTCCTTTCAGTATTTTATTACCCTTCATTTGTATCTACTGCTTTGTAAGATTGCCTTCATTCTCTCTTTTTCCATTACCAGCTGGGAGTTTTATTCCTTCCTTTCTCCCTAGGTCCTTCTGTCATAACACCTCCTATTTTGTGATTTTATGATACAGTTTCTACTCTTTCAAGTCGGAAATGGTGCCTCCCACATACAGTTTTTTTTTCTGTGCATACTTAAAAGGTCCAGACAAATAAATGGACAGAAAATTAATTTTACATTCACTTTAAATGGCAGCAAATGAAAGATTCCAGACAAAGATTAGACAATGAAATTTTGTTCTTGGATAAATTTCACTGCCCAGTCCTAGGGGGAATGACTACAGAATTGAATGGGGGGCTTCCCCATTGCTGCTTTGCCCCCAGTATAATCTTCCTCTTTGCACCCCTGCCCTTCCTCTTTGCCTGAGGGCCAAAAGAAGGAAAGTATAAAGCCCACAACCTTGGTTCTCTGAAGTTTACTTGAGCTACTGTTTTTTGAAGACTTCTTTTTCTGGGATTTCTGCTCTTGGCATGTGTTCCTACTCTTCTTTCCAGCATTTCCTTTCAGTCCTTTCCAGACAGATTGGAATGAGCTGCAAGGGGAACAGCTGCAGCAAGTATCCCTAAATATTGTCTTGGACAGTCACCAGCCTTTTCTCTTTATTCAAGGACTTTAGGTAGTATAATATATATAATATATATATACACTGTTCACCTTTAAGAGCCAACTAAAGACATGGTTGTATGTTCAGGCCTTCCCTCCTGTCAATACTTAATTTCTTCTTTCTCCTTTCATTCATTTTTTGATTTATTATTGCATGTGTCACAGTCTGTTTGTCAAATTTTTATGGTTTATTGTATATTTTTTTGTATTGGAAGCCGTCCAGAGTGGTCGACCAGACCAGATGGGCGGGATATAAATCAAATAAATAAATAAATAAAATATGATTACATATATAGTAATATAAACACGCACATATATTTTATCTGTTATTTCTTCTCTTAAGTTAGAGGATGTTGGAATTTTTCTGAGCTATTTCTTTTAAAGTAGGCATTTTTAAAGTTAAGAACCAGGCTGGTATAGTAGATAAGACTGTTGAACTAGATGGGTTCAAATTTTCATCCTGCCATGAAAACTCACTGGGTGGTGGTGATGATAGTAGTAGACTACTTCTGGGTCCTTAGACACTCTTAATAGGGTTGCCATAAGGCAGAAGCAACTCGATGACACAAAATGCACATTTGTTTAGTGGAATCAGTTTACATCCTACCTTTTTCTTAAGGAGGCCAAGGTGGCATTTGTGTTTCTCTTCTCTCTCTGCCCCCTTTTCAGAGTGCCCATTCAATATACTAATCTGTTATAAGGTCTTGCTTACTATGGCAAGTTGGCTAAATATTTCTCATACATATGCATGGTTGATACATATTGGTTATGAGATAATTCAGAACTCTCATGCTTGCCACAAACGTTTTGCAAATCAGTAATGCTTTTCATTTCTTTATCTGTATCTTTCATGGGGAGATGTTCTTTTGTGCTGTAAGGAGTTCAACGGTAGCAGTGATTTTAGTAGGTGAGAAATAAGAGTGATGACACTTTCATTACTGTTTTGAAAGGAACACACCACAATGTTTAATCCGTGCAGAATAATTGATTGTGTGAGAGTTGCTAATTAGCAGGTTAATTTATTAGCCTCCAGTGCAACAGTTGCTCACAAGAGTCTTGCATATTTTTTTAAAAAAATCATATGTTTCACAGAAAAGGTAGAAATGTGGGAAAGTTTTAATTTCTGTTCCTAATCTACCATTTCTGTAGTACACGTGTTTTTAAAAAGTCAATCATTTTTCCTGAGGGGCCAAATGTTTAAAACTAATTACTATAAATATCCTTTTTCCTTGTGGTTGTTACAGTTGCTTTAGTGCAGTGTCAATGCAGGGGGGAGAAAAGACCTCAGTTTGCTAAAAGCAGTAAGGCCTTTTAAATCATGATTCAGGCTGTTTTGCACTGTTGTTGGCTTGCTGTAGGGGTATTTATTTCTGATGGGATGCTGAGATTGCATTTTAGAACTCTGTTATATGGCTAACAGTTGTCTGTATTAAAAAAAAATCAGTGCTAATGACTCCCTCAGCACAGCCCACTTCGAACAGATTTCTTTCATATCCCATGATTTTAAATTGGGAAATGGATGGAAAAAATAGGGTCAAGATCTTAACTTTAATTCTCATTAAAGAGGAGAAAAAACAGAAGCCATACTTCACTTAGTAATTTGCTGTTCTGTGCTGGTAGATAAGTTCTTGTTTTGCTCTTGTTTTGAAAACCACTGGGACATTCTTGCTGGATACAAGTGACACAATTTTCTGAGTAATGTTACGTTTGTATGCTTGAAGAGTTAATGTGCCATAGCATTTAACAGGGCAGTCCTAGCATGTTATTTTTAAGTAACTGGAATGTAGAAATAATGTGAAAAATGAATGCCTCAACATTAAATTCATTGCTTGGGGACCGACATCAGACAAAAGGCCATCTAAATCTAATGTCTAAAAGTACTGTTTGAAAACCTAATGTTATATGAGTTTTACTTGTTAGAAAGGTTAGTGTCCATGGTCTCTGAAGAGGGAACCATTTCAGTCCACATTCCCTCCAAAACGGTAAAGTTCTATGGTTTTCTTTAAAAACTGGATTCATACTAGGTAACCTAAGATCAAGACTATAAATGCACTTTGACTATAATGCAGAAACATTAGTTGATATGGTAAAAAGACTGATGTGTTTGTCTGGACATCTGTGAGTTGTAGTCATAAGGCTATCAGGAGCCCTAAAGCTAGGATCCATTGCTCAATAAAGAGCCAGTTGCCCATTCCTATGAAACTTCTTTTGCACAGCGAAGACAGAAGCTTTGACTGAGAGTACAGTATTTGTTAAATCCTGTTAAATCACTTCTACCTTGTGAAGACCCTTGGAGGGTTTTGTAAGTATGTGAAATGTTCAAGGAGTAGTTTACCATTGTGAGTAGTTTACCGTTGCCACTCTCAGGTGGGTTTCTGTGGCCAAATGAAGGTTTCAACCTCTACTCCCTGAATGCTAGTCTGACCCCATCACACTTGCAAGCACAGACCTCATTAAAATCTGCCACAGGCAGCAGGCCTATCTGAGACTGGGCAGTCACCAAGACCATAGTGACCACATTTCCTTGTTGCAAACAAATCAGGTCAGCTGCACTGTCACACAAATGAAGAAACAAAAACCAGGACACTGGCTTTAGTCTCCCAGTTGAAAAAATGATGTCAGGGCACAATCACAACCAAGTAGCCTGTGTGCAAGATGAAGTTGGAGGGGAATTTGCATGCCCCCCCCCCAAGGTCTCCAAACAAGAAAGGAGGGCCCAATGTACGGCTGAAGGCATGCACATTCCATGGTTGCGTGAAAGTATGCCAATGTGAATGAAACTCAAAATGAAATTATTAATAAACATGAAAGATGAAAATAGCAGAACCTCTGGGGTAAAGAAGGGCTCTTTTTCATTAGCAACCACTTGTGGATCTTGATTCAAATCTAACAGCTTAGTTGTCTCTGT